GCAGACTCATTCTGAGCCATCGCTTGTGTGGTGGTGTGGAACACCTCTGTGGGCCTGGGCTGCATCGTTGGCATAGGCTTTAGATGACATTTTAGCAAGAATAAAATGGTTGGGGGGGGAAAGGCCATCTAATGAGAGTACAGAGGAAGGGCAGCGCTTGCTGCTGTGCTGGTTTGGAGTGAAAAGTAGTTCAAGCCCAGGTCGGACAGAGCCTTGGGCGACATGGTCCAGTGTGGGGCATCCCTGCCCATGGCAGGGGGTTGGAACTGAACGATCTTAAGGTCCTTTCCAGCCCAAACCATTCTATGTGCCATGGGTTTTAGCATAATAAGATGTGCTGCAGATCTGCCACATCCATTTTATTCCCTGTGGCAGTTTACAAAAGGGAAAGAAACATAAACCCCCCTGAGACTGGAGCAGCTGCAGTCACTCAGCTGACAGCATGGGACAAGGCTCGCTCTGCTCCTCCTTCATTCCCATGGCTCTCTGTTCTGCTGCACGTATTTGGCTGTTCTGTGAATTTGCAGAGCATGAGGTTTCTGTCCCAAACTGCCTTTGATCTGCACAGACTCCCCTAGCTCTCATCTGAATTCATTGATGCTTTGAGTAAGCGTTTTAATTCTATGTTTACTGGCTCGTTCCCCTTTGTAGCGTTATCTGACTGACAAGTTCATCGTGCTCTGTGTTACCTTTAGGTTTTAAGTCTAACACGTTCCCTCTTTCAAGCTACGATTGTTCTTACAGATGTTATAAAGGCACCTTCATTTCCTCAGGAGAAAACCTGCGTTACTCTCAGCTTTGGTTACTAGCAAATCAATATTAAAGCATGAACAAAGTATGTTTTATACCATCAACCGTAGTTTGACTTGTAGTTTAAAAACCTGCCTAAGCACTAAAAGCAGCATCTAGTTTGAAACCCCCATGCCAGGGAAGTCACAGCATCAAAGGGCTTTCCTGGGTTGGAGTTTTCCCCACGAAGTTCTGCTGCCTTTTCCCCAACAATTGTGAATTTAGCACAATGTACAGAACTGTAGCCAGAACCCCCATTCCTGAACACGTGGCCAGAAGGAAGAGGAGAGGATGTTGTTTCTTGCTGATCAAGCACAACTATGTCAGTGGAGAAGATGCACTGCAGCCGGTCAGAGCATTGATCTCCGGGCTCATTGGTGCTGGGGCCATGCTGTCTTTGGGAAGGGGTTAGGTGTTAGCAAATGGCCAAACTGTGAATCATTGACTGTCAGAAGAATTTGGCTTGTCTGTCTTTTTAAGTTCTTGTGGTACAGTGGGGGTGAGAAAGGAATGTATTTGGGATGACCGGGATGATGAATGTATGATGCTTCATGTTTATTTGTAATGTCCTTTTTATACTTAGAAATTGCTTACATATGTATCTGTATGTAAATAAATGTTTAATCCTTTCCACTTGGTGTTTGGAGTGTTTGATTTCGTTGGGGCTTTGTTTGAGCTGCAAAACAAAAGTTGCCTTAAAAATACATACAAGACATTCACTTGATGTGATTTAATATCGCATCAACAACTGAATGACTGCTGAGGCTTTTCTGCTTGGGTTGAGCATGCCAAGGCTCTCACAGCGTTGGGACCTCACGGGAAGAGCAGAAGTAGAGCTGCTGTCCATGGGAGCAATGTCCCTTTGCACTGGAACAGCAGGAAAAGGTTATTTGAAACAAGAGAGATCATAGCAAGGTGTGAAATGCATCAGTCACTAAGGGTGGTCTCTGACAGAGGTACCATCTTCATCCCTTGTCACTGCAAACCTGCAGCTGGTTAAACCCTTGTCCTAGCATGATGCAGGGTTTGTGTTGCGTGAAGGTGATGACTGGATGCTTCAGGCGTCTCTTGTTCTTTGTCCCAGTTCCCTTTTTAACTTAATGCTGGTTCTTCTCTTCATCCTTCAACTCGTTCTTTTCACACTGACTGAACTCCAGGGGAGCTCCCCACCAGATCCACCTTTCTGGGGGCCTGGAATCCTTCTGGACAAGGTCTCCCACCTTAAGCCTTTAGTCTTTGGGTCAATATATAAACTTTGTGCTCTGACTTATTCTGGGGATGAGTTTTCCTCCCCTGTGCTCTGCTCCACATCAAAGATGACGCTTACACTGAGAAATGAGCTGTGAAGCTTGGAGGCACCATGTGTCTTTTATTGCCTCTTCCAGTGACCTTGAAGCTCCTTCCGTGGTAGTGTCTGACATGAAGGCTGGACCATCTGCTCCATGGTCCCCAGGAAGCTGGCAACTGGAGTCAGCGAGAACACAGAGAGCAGTTTGGAGAGGAAAAAGTCCCCGCGTGCTCTGTGGTAGGAACTGGGTAAAGGGGAGAGAAGAAACATCCTTAAAGCTTGGACAGCTTGGGGACTGAGTGTTTGCTGAAAGGCAGGAGGGATGGAGCGTGTTGCTGTGGCTGGAGAAGCCAGACCAAGCTCTTCCCGGGGAAAGGCGAGGGGCAGGGGCAGAGTGGCAGCTCTTCCTTGCAAGGAGCGTGTAGCCGGTGGGATGTGAACCTTCTCCTTCAGGAGGTGCAGCAGCAGGGGCACAGCCTGTAAATCCTTGGTAAAAGGATTGTAGCAGCACAAATGCTCCCTGCAAGAAGGGAACGAAGTTCCCAGGGGAAGCAATGCAGGAGTGACAGAGCACAGGACAAACCCAGGGCAGCAGCTCACTGCCTCTGCCTTCTCATGTGCAAAGTCTTCC